CATACCAACATAATTAAACCCACACCGGCATGGTCAAACCCATACCTGCATAATCAAACCCACACCAGCATGATCAAACCCATACCAGCATGATCAAACCCATACCAGCATGATCAAACCCATACCAGCATGATCAAACCCACACCAGCATGATCAAACCCACACCGGCATGATCAATCCTGCACCAGTATGATCAAACCCATATCAGCATGATCAAACTCATACCAGCATAATCAAACCCTTACCAGCATGGTCAAACTCATACCAGCATAATCAAACCCATACCAGCATGATCAAACCCACACCAGCATGAACAAACCCATACCAGCATGATCAAACCCATACCAGCATGATCAAACCCATACCAGCATGATCAAACCCACACCGGCATGATCAATCCTGCACCAGCATGATCAAACCCATATCAGCATGATCAAACCCATACCACCATAATCAAACCCATACCGGCATGATCAAACTCATACCAACATAATTAAACCAACAACAGCATGATCATACCCACACCAGCATAATCAAACCCATACCAGCATGATCAAACCCATACCAGCATGATCAAACCCATACCAGCATGATCAAACCCACACCGGCATGATCAAACCAAAGAGGCAAATTCCAGCTACTTGCCTACTCAAGTCTCCCCTCAATAGAGTCGTACGTCAAAAGGAATCGATCAGTACCAAAATAAGTCGACTTTGAACTGTTAAAAACATCAATCCATTATCATGTTTGTGTGTTGTCTTAGGTCGTAGTCAAATAAATTCCAAGTATATTTCAGTTGCTTATACTAAATCAGGTTAGGGACAGTAAAACCAGTGGTTGATAGATCAAAGGTCCCACATGGCCGGGACACGGTGACACTCAATCAGACACGTCACAGAGCCTTACCTCGACATCTCATTAATAGCTGCTTCTTTCAACAAGTTTGACCCGAAAGTTACACTGGTCACCAGTGATTATAACATGGACGGATTTGTCATATACATGGTATCCTTACATATGTAACTAGTCGTGACGTCATTGCTGACGTCAGAGGACAGTGATACAGTTTTCAAAAGACAGTTTTTAATCAACGATCTATTTCATCTGAAAGCCCATCTGATAATAGGTCATATGCTCATGAACGTTTTAAAACAATACAAATGACTGAAATGGACGGATGATAAAAAGTATACGATTAAAGATATGTTATATTTGGGATTGCACTAACATATGTAACATTTGACCACTTTCTAAAATGGCATTGTGTATTTCATATACGATTAAAATAAAGATAACAAAACGTTCAGTTTATTCATAAATAAAGTTGAATTAAACATATATCGATATAAGAAATTACAGAACCTGAATAAATGGATGAAGAACAAATAAATTAATTTAGAATTCAATAATTGTTCCGCAGGTCTTTATCACTGAATACCTGTGAAACTCCGGGTTAGAATTGATCTTCAGTAACCCATCCTTGTCGTAAGAGGCGACTAACGGGATCGGGTGGTCAGGCTCGCTGACTTGCTTGACACATGTCATCATATACCAGTTGCGTAGATCGATGCTCATGCTGTTGATCAGTGGATTGTCTGAGACTCGATTATTTACAGACCGCCGCCATATAGCTGGAATATTGCTGAGTGCGGCGTAAAACTATACTCACACACTCACCATTAAGCATTGAAACATGGCCTGCACTGTTCACACATAAACGTGTAATACCACCAAGGGTTTAATCAAGCGAGACCATAGTACTGGTCTTGAGGACATTACGTCAGCGACACCAAATACCTGAGAGATCGATCTGTACAAAGACCTGTGTTCTCGTTCACACGGTGACGGTTTACTGGGCAATTTAACCCTTAAAGTCAATGAAGCACGTCAGTCAGTGTTTTCACATACATAAAGCATTCAACACATATACTGAATACAACATATGTTATATTTGGGATACACTTTCTTAGTAAAGTACAAATTCTAGTACTTTTTAGTTGAGCCCCATCCGGGATTCGAACTCACACACTCAGTCGGGCACCTAATCGCCAGCACACAAAGTCAGCCGCCTAACCCACTCAGCTACCGCGACTTCCACAAAAAAGGAAGTCGGACAACTGGTAGTCTAGACTGCGGACTTTGTGTACCCCTGTGATAAGTGTTACTGAAGAGTTTGTCAATATTTGTTTGGTTGTTTTGTATTGGTATTCTGTGTGGGTTTAGCGTTGTAATGAGGGTTTCTTTGAGTTGAAGCTGTTGAATTATGTGTCATGTCCAGTATCCGCTGTTGTTGTTGTTGTTAACTCTTCTCACGCATACCAACATGTTGTTGTTGTTAATCTCTATTTGATATATATAACGTTATCCTATAGAACGTCACTCTTGCTTGACAACGGTTTAACAATCTATACCGAAACGTCGCATCAACATAACAAACACGTTGAAGGAAAACCAAGTTCTTTGGATAGTCAACCTCTTTATTGCAATGAGTGCGACTTTTCGGTGTAGGTACTAACTCTTGCTTGATAACGGTGTTAGTACCTACACCGAAACGTCGCACTCATTGCAATAAAGAAGTTGACTATGTATAGAACTTCATCTTCTCAACTTCTAAAATGCCTCTCAAAGAAATAATACGTTGTCATCCTTAAAGTATGCCTTACATGTGAATGATTTCACGATGATTTCAGCGAAAGCACTGGTTGGTTTCATAAGGATTAGATGTCTACTGGTGTCCTGGGTGCTATTGTACAAAGCAACCTTAGCGCTACGCCAGTCGTAAGTCTATGTTAAGGGAATCCAGGAACTTTGCCCACATGAACTTTGCCCACAACATTTTTACAGGGGAGGAACTTTGCCCACAATATAAATGTTAATACTCACCCACCTTAATACCCTGCTCAGGATGTGTTGTTTATAAAAGAGATTAACCATTAATTGCAGTTCACCTAGGCTTCTCTGCTTGTTGGTATTTCTTTTTCTAATTACAATAAACACTTACCTTTATACTCATCCACCTTAATTGACTACATCAACAACGAAAAAACAATGGAAGAATTTCTGAAGTCTGTTGGTGCCACTATTAGACTGAACTAAAAAAATGAAGTACTGAAAAAACCATCAGCAACGAAAAAACAATGGTTAAATGTATTAGAATGATCAATGACGTGCTATTTATTTTTAAATATCAATGTACTATATTATATGCTATTTCTGTGTAGTTATCATATATCATATCATTTATATCATGTTGTATTATCATTGTGGGCAAAGTTCCTCCACTGTAAAAATTGTTGTGGGCAAAGTTCCTGTGGGCAAAGTTCCTGTGGGCAAAGTTCCTTGTGGGCATGGTTCCTGTGGGCAAAGTTCCTGTGGGGAAAGTTCCTCCCCTGTAAAAATTGTTCTGGGCAAAGTTCCTGTGGGCAAAGTTCCTCCCCTGTAAAAAATGTTGTGGGCAAAGTTCCTGTGGGGAAAGTTCCTTGTGGGCAAAGTTCCTGTGGGGAAAATTCCTGTGGGGAAAGTTCCTCCCCTGTAAAAATTGTTGTGGGCAAAGTTCCTGTGGGCAAAGTTCCTCCCCTGTAAAAATTGTTGCGGGCAAAGTTCCTGGGGGCAAAGTTCCGTACACCATGTTAAGGTATGGGAGTTAGAATCACCTTAGCGCTGAGGTCGCTTTGTACAACAACACCCTGTTGACATTCACTTACATGTTTCTGAATGTGAAAAGTATTGAACGTATGGCGCATGGAGATGATTGAAGGACTGCATGTCGTCTAACATTGTTGCGAGGATATCATGAAATGCCTGAATGATACACCCAAACAATTCCTGACCCCCTGTGACTTGATCAATAACCAATCACGCAAATACCTGAGAACAGGTGAGTGATATAGATTACAGATAAGCACCGAGTCACAGCAGGAGGATGGGTGGGTTAACATTGAATGTGTACGTGTGAATGTGTGCAATGAGCAGGTGCGTTTACGGGTTTTGAGGTTGCGTGTGAGTGTATTTGGAAACGTGGGTACAGCCAAGTATGTACGACATGTGTGCAGTGTGCGAAATAGTTTCCACATGTTGCTACCCGTGGGGCTAGCTATGCCTGAAGTCACTAGCCAACAAGATAATTCACTAGACCGAAATTTGAATGTAGAAACCAAGCAAAAGATTACAGAAATAGGTGAGAATAAGATATTGTCGGCATGGCACGGGTTTCATCATTAAGCTGCTAATATGATGAACATTTTTATCAGGCCATAATCTTGCATGATTTAAAAGTGTATCATAACTTAACAAGTCGGAGAGTTATGTATTTTAAAAAAATGACCCCGTGAAAATTCACTAGCCAGTCGGGCCAGTGACTGTGGCGATCGCGGGTCAGTGGATATTTCGCACACTGTATGTGTGCTGGTGCGTATGTGTTTGCCAGTGTATGTATGTGTGTGTGTGTGTGTGTGCGTGCGTGCGTGCGTGTGTAGTCGTGTGGTTGCCAATGTGAATATCCATTCTTTGCAAACGTGATTTTCGTCAGTGTTCGCACGCATGTGTGAATGTGTTGTGTGTAGGTGTGTTTGCACGTGTGTGTACATATGGGTTCACGGTGGGGTAGCCCAGTCGTTTATGCGTTCGGGTTCGATTCCCCACATGGGTACAATGTGTGAAGCCCATTTCTGGTGTCCCCTGCCGTGACTATTGCTAAAACCGGAGTAAAAATACACTCACTAACACACAAGCACGATGGGAGTGCTATTCATTCATTCTATGAATATTGCAGGAACGTAAATAGTTATGTTCTCTAAGTGTGTATCCGTGTACAGAATATATATACAGCTGTGTGACGCCATGTGTACATGTGTCTTTCAAGTGCATGGTAAACCTATTAAAACAGGTTATGTATTTTGTAAATATGCAGATTGTACTACAGATGCATGAGCAGGCGCTTGTATATGCTGTTTGGAATATGTTCAGCATATGGAAGTTACTCTTAATGGAAAACAACGAAAGAATGCGAGATATTTTATTTGGCACTTTGCTGTAGTTGACATGAAGTGCTCTATCATGCACGTGTTTACACAATATATATAGGTAATCAGGATGTAGTGCTTTAGATTAATAGTAATAACAAGCAGAAGATTAAGATAAGGAAGAAGAACAGGCCATGTTCAGTCGGTGGAGCTTTCTGAGTAACAAGAGCTGCATTAACGAGGTGTAATTGCAAATAAACGTACATATATCCTGATCATTGGAATATTTTTGTTTACTGTTACCACACATACACTAATAAACTGCCAGGCCAAAGATGGTAGTATACACTGTTTGGTTGTGGTTACAAATAATATGATCATGTACAGGGGCGGATACAGCTTTTTGAGAAAGGGGGGGTGCACATTATTGAGAAAAGGAGGGGTGCACACTTCATTTTCACCCGAGTTTCAATGGTAATTTAACAAACTTTCAGCACAAAAGGGGAGGTGCGCACCCCTGCACCCCCCTCTGGATCCGCCTATCATGTATACGGGTATCACAGTTTGTGTTTGGGACTTTAAATGTCCAGTATACTTGTTTAATCATTCTTTTATGAAATAACATAATACTATAAAAAGTTAAAAAAATACAGCCTCTCTTTCCTACATTTCCATTTCACTCTCAGCTCTAGCAGCCTGTGCTCTTCCCATTCTCAGCTCTAATAGCCCATGCTGTTGCCATTCTTAACTATGATAGCCTGTGCTCTTCCCATTCTCAGCTCTAGCTGCCTGTACTCTTACCCTTCTCAGCTCTAGCAGTTCACACACTTCATCTTTTCACCCTAGGTATTTAGAGACGTTATCATACCTAAATAGCCAATGGTTCCTTCAAAGAATTACTTTTATTCAACCTTATACATAACGTTGTTTCAGGGACTATACTTCAGTGTACCCCTGAACTGTGTGATACTCGCCCTTTAACGCAGCATTCCATAGAGACCGTCTATCGTCTCCACTGAACCGTACAGATTCCTTGGTGATATGTCGGTCTCCACGCACAATGACATGCACACATGGACGTAACCAGATATCAGCTGCCTAAATCTGTGTGGCGGATCACTTCAGCGTGGTGCAAAACCCACAGTATATTTCTTGCTCAATTGGTTTTATCCTCCGCCATGACACCTGAATTGGGCATAAACTCCATGCACTGTATCGGTTACATAATTCCCTATTATTATGGTATTAGCAATGTACTGGAGCTTAAGGGGATTGGGTCAGTGGGTGTAATAAGCTGTGAAACGGATTTGATATTTCATGTAGTTCAGTTGTAATTAGTCAGTTTAAAGAGAGTATTTTTCATCCCTGGTGAATAAGTATCACTGGGTGATTGTAAATAATTAGGCCTATTTAACAGACATGTCTCATGCTTTCGACATGAGATTGGCGCACGAATGATATAATTCTCAATTGTGTTATATTTAAAGGGAGAAATATAGACATCCTTGAACATTTTAGTACTGATTAAATTAGTCATAAGTATTTATGTGTATACTGATGAAATCGATAAGAGAACACAGAAAAAAATAACAGATGAATGACGTCATTCGTGTAAATAGGAAAAGAAAAAAGGATAAGATCAATCAATCAGGGGCACAAAAAGGCCTACACCGATGTATGTTCCGTTATTTGTTTCCATCAGTATATGTACATCTTTCCAGGAACAACCTGAGATTCCGAACGGCATTGAACAATATAATGTGGTCGATGTATGCAAAGTCAACAATTGCCATTTGAATTATGAAAAAGGACACTATTGTTCACAAAACCGGATTTAAATTCACAAATTTGAAGCTGGACAATTAAGTGCAAAAACATATAAGATAACGCCCTTTTGGGTAGAGTCTGAAATATATGCTACTCAAATATAGGAAAACCAAGTTCTATGGTTCTGACATGACATATTAACTATAGTTGTATGAAAGAATAACATGTTTTATAACGATTTGTTTCTGTTGCATACTTACAGTAACATTTGGATATATCTATTTCAGTCATAGAAGCTTTTAGGTTTCTCTGTGAAGGGCTTTGCAGTGCCCAGAGACCACTTGTACATATAAAGAATATCTGGCCAAACATATTTTGGATGGTTACCTGTTAAGGATTGGTCTCTTTAGATTGTCTTTTTTCATTTTTTCTTATAATAAATCATAGATAAAAGGCCTGGCAAAGGAATAATAATAGTACTTTCTTACCATTGCTTAGTGTAATATTCGGCCCAGAACCATAAATCAACCATTTTAATGAATCGCCCTGTGTGCTGTTTTTATCAACATAACAACATCAGAATGATTGGCCTACAAGGACAGACACTCTAAATCCCAGGTAAACAGAGGTGCAGGTATTCATGGACGTCTTCTGTTATAACACTGACATATCGATTTACCTGACTCGTAAACAGCCCCAGAGATTATACGTATTTCAGCTACTATGGAGGCAGTTGTATTGTCAACGACACTGAAGGTTCAGCGGGAACACTGACAATGATATTGTAATATTGAATACTCTTCTTGACTCCAGGCTACACTACCTCTGCCCTGAACAGATGTCTACGTTGAGAGGAAGATACCTGAGTAAAAGTCAGCCCTTATGTTTGACTATCAATTACCATAGTGGCCATAATGATTCTTTCTCAGGGTATGTGCTCAGTTGGAGAACCTTTTTTCACCTTTAATACCATTTACACTTGTCACTGTGCTGTCCACTATGGTCAGACAGTCGCCATTAGAATTATTATCCCTGTTAATGTTCAGATGCAAGGTTAGGTATGCACATTTTCAGATTGTTTAAACACAAAAGTACAAATATTATTAATCATTATTACATATATTACATCAAACTCCTATCTCGGCAAATACCCGTTCCAACATTTTATCTGTCTATGAAAAAGAAGTGTTGCCTCGTTTAACATGATTTGACAATCAAAACAGCAAGATAAATATTGTCATATTGAGAATTGAATGTCATAAATACGATTTAAAGTAGGAAACTGTGTATAAAATGATTATCAATATATGTCTCACACAGTGATATGAAACACTGGTTTACATTGCAACGTCTACAACTGGAATATCAGACAGGACAAGCTTCTACACTCACTCGGGTCAGGTGTGCTAATGTGGTTTCGGTACTGGTGCACTCATTTCATCTATACAGTAGCACAACGTCACAGCAAAACGATTATTTATCCATTTTCTGTGGTAAGACAAACATATGTACATTATATCACACATTGCTTGATAAATTAAAACAAAACAGAACTGTTCAATACGGACCAGTGATCACGTGACAGCTCGGAGAGTGTCGATGTCAGATTCTCTGCCGCCATCTTTCAACTTGACGTTGGTGCATGGTTTGAAATGCGCTTTTGTAAAATGCGCCCCTTGTACTTCCATTGTTCTGTTTGAAAGTACCCGTGAATCTAACGACATCACGCGACTACCAATATTTGGGCTCGGTTCGGTTATGTACGTGTCAAAACTAGGACTAATCCCGGATGTATAAGAAGAGTTCCTGGAACTGTTCTGATTAGAATCCTTCACTTCCTCCAATCGCATGTCACTTTCCATATTACGTGGTAAACTGTTTCCGGCATCCGTTGTAGGCGAGTTATCTCCCTTTGAAGAGATCGCTTTCAAAGGACTCCCTCTTGAGAAAGGAAAGCTGTTGTTTGCATATGCCATGTATTTGGTTGAAGATTCATCCACCCTGTCGAATAATCCATTATGAAAAGCAGATTCTAGTACACCCGTCCTTGGGCTCTGTATCCCCGAATCAATTTGAACAGCCTCGACTTGACGTAAGTTTCGGTCAAAGGCCACAGGAAGGACTTTCCTGCCACGTGACTGTCTCCAACTTTGCTTTTTCCGCTTGTTAAGGTCTCGACCCTTCCTCAACATCTCCTCCCCTTTAGTCAGAGTTAAAGGTCGGTTGAGATCATGAAACATATTAGGGATGTTAGATTGTGGAAAATATGGCCCTTCGGAAGATATAAAATCCAGATGGCGGCGACACATCTCCATATTGACCTCCATCTCAAATGTTAGTTGTTTTTCAAGTTTCGTTGGAGGTCCATTTTCACTTAGGATCTGTAGAGCGTTCTTAGTCTGGATGCCCCCTATATCCACACTAACGCTTTGCTTCATACTGAATGGTTGACTCAATCTATGATTAATCGGCTTCATCGGAGAACGTACTAGAGCACGACTACCAGTACTGGACACGGATGATACATCACTGCTGACCACCGATGATTTGCTCTGACTGTTTCTTGACTCATGCCCATCAACAACTGACCCTTTACCTGTATGAGGTGCCCGGTAATGTTTCTCAGGAAGCCGTTTGCCAGTTCGCTTCCACTGTCCTGGCTGGCTGTATTCGTCTATAGGGTTGAGGTATGTGAGCTGAGTACGCTGGACACCGGGTGTCCGTTGTACTTTACCTCCGTGTATTTTCATATCCTGGTGTCTTGCTGTCATAACGTCCGTCACTGCCTGCTTGGCAAGGCTGTATTGTCTGTTGGGATTGTCATCACTTGTGGCGTCCTGGAGCGTGGTCTTTGTCCTTTCAACACGAGGTATGAATTCCGGAATGAGAGCGTTCAGTCTTTGGGGACGACAGTTGTAGCTGAAATCTATACTTGGGTGCAGTTTGATTTTATATCTCGGGACATTTAAATCCGACAGTCTTGATTCACTTGAGAAACCCCTCTCTCCGCCGAATAAATACTTAGCAACAAGCGCAGCGTTATTTTCACTCTTGGCGAGCTCTTCCCCAAGCCCATTTTCAAACAGGATCCGTCGTTCAATATTATTTTCTCCTCCTGCACTTAGGGGCTTGTCATAGAACTCGGGTAGACTCTTTTCTCTTCTCCATACCTGTGTAGTAAACGGTTTTAGTTCTACCACCGGAAGTGGCTTCTCTACTTCAGATGCAGCCATGTTTTTGCCTTTGACACCGTTTGCGAAGTTTGAAGAATGGGACACCACCTCCGTGGTTCGTGATCCGCTAAGACGAGGTTCAGCCATGCTGAAACATACATTCATTACCTTTTACGCATTTCCTTAAGCCGGACATCTCTGACCTCCGTATTGCCTCGTGGTCCAGCAGGATAACACACGCTTATCATCCACCCTCGTTGTTAAACTGTCCCTCCTCTGCGGCACCACACATAATATATATCTCAGTCAATGAGGACGGTGTACGGTTCGGAACCATGATACATCTGTCCTATCTTCAATTGTCCTTCATAGTTACCCTCACTCACAAGATACATGCATAACTCGTCTCAGTGTAAGGGCCTTCACAGGAGATATCCTCACGTCCACGGCACGGCAGTCTATGTCCCCCTCCATCGTTACCTAGCGAGGGTAAGGACGCACCCACAGCCCCCTCACTACCGCCGTGGGGTCACAAAAGACGATCAAGTATCTGTCACTGGTTTAAAATCTCTCGGGAAGCTACCCATTTAACGCTAATTCAAAGTTCTCAAATCAAAACGTACCCTTAGTAGTATTTGCTCGGCTGTTCCAGCCCGTGGGTATAGTGTGTCACCACAGACCACTCCAGGTGGGTGACTGAAGGCCGTAGCAACTGACTAAACAATGAGCACTTTAGTCGCCAACATACGACCCATGTACTCACTGGAGCAGAATAGCCTGTGAGACGCTCGTCCTACCGTGGTTTATACTTAGTAATACTATGGCTTTGTGCAACACTAATTCCCATATAATCTCCTGCAGGTAATCCTGTTTTATTCCCGGCAAGAGTCGATAGGCTGCTGGCGTTTATTGGAATCGAAATACTAGACGGACATTATTAAAGTCCCACAGATATTTAGAGGGCAGTTCCCATCAGATTATCAACAAATAAGACGGTGATATAGACTGGTGGCGAAGGTTGTGATTGATTTTATTGTATTGACAAATTGTTTCATAGACGCTGTTTTGTATTGAGCTGGGGATTTTCGTTACGGACACTTCTATGGAACATAATTTCTTTTCTGCATGTGAATATATCATGTGTTGACCATCCATTGACCATCCAGATTCCCCATGACGATACATTGAGGCAGGGGATTTGACATTCTTGAGCCGAAGTGTTTACATATCTAAAGTGATAGGGTGTGTATTATGCATATGGAAATATGATAAGGGTTACAGCAGTGTATATATGCATTACGTGTCATGTGGGCCGTGTTATTGCCGACATTAACAATTCTAAATATTGATGTTAAATTTAAATTAATTTTATGCTAAAGACTTTGTATGTTATATTTTTTGCAGCGATATTTGATGCGTGTGTATGTGTGTTTGTGCGTGCGTGTACGTGTGTTTGCGCGCGTGTGTGTGTGCGTGTATGTGTGTTTTGTTTATGTCTCACTTAACAATATTTCCGCTTTACAACAACGTAATGATAATCAAGTATAAATCCAACAAATCCAGTGAAGGATATTATGAGCAACCAACGGCCCATGCCTTCAACTAACTGACAGAGTCTGCCAACCGTTAAGTCACCTCTGAAATCCACCACAATCTGCTCGAGACGTATTCCAACCCTGTATCCACATGAATTACAATTAGAACATGATAATGTTCTGTAAATACAAGTAGTTGTAGGAATGTATTACCATGAGTGAGGAGTATATGTTCTTCTTTTTTATGTTGTATTTTCATTGTTATTATTCTTGTTGGCGTTGTTATCATTATTACTGAGTGAGTGAGTGAGTTATTATTTAACGTCACATCGGCAATATTGCAGCCATATCGTGACGAGAACATATTTGATTTTGAAGTGGAATACATGCATAATATAAAAACCTGTCGACGAAGGACAGTAAAACAACTAGAATATCACAATTAGAATTAAAACTAGCGTGGAAAGTTTAAAACTAATAGCATCATTATTATTGACGCATTGATCACTCATTATAAGTGACACCAACTTGCTGTGGCATGAATATTGGACCGCCTCCGCCCGGAGAGGGGAAGGTCGCGGATTCGATCCCCGGGCGCGTCATACCAAAAAGACGTTAAAATATTGTATTTGTTGTTCCCTGCCTGACGCTCAGCATTAATGGGTACAACAACGACTTGTCGGCTCGGAGGCAGTATAATGTGTCTGAGTGGGGTATTCATGCTTAACTGCGGCATGGGGGCGGTGGGGTAGCCTAGTGGTTAAAGCGTTGGCTCGTCACGCCGAAGACCCGGGTTCGAATCTCCACGTGGGTACAATTTGTGAAGCCCATTTCTGGTGTCCCCCGCCGTGATGTTGCTGGAATATTGCTTAAAGCGGCGTAAAACCAAACTCAGTCAGTAACTGCGGCATGGTATCTCAGTGAGCTAGCACTATAAAACCAGCTTAAGTCTGGACTAGTACAAGCAGCCACACATACACACGTCGTCATATGACCGAAATATTCATAAGTGCGACGTTTAACCCCATTTTACCTCACCTCACCATGAATGTTGCTTGGAACACTTAAATGTACAAAATGGTATAAGTTTGTGTTACCTATTTCAATGAATCATCAACATGTAAAAACGACCCAAACAATAAATCTTGAGGTTGATACTCAGCTTGTTTACAAATGTCGGCGACAATACAGTCACGTGATTGACGTCGTTGGACCACCGCACATTAAACTTATTGTTTCCTGCTGTTGTTTACTGACTTGCGAAAGAAACAGGTACTCATATTGCAAACACTAGGAGTTCGTGTTGACAAGATAGAAATACAAGTAATGTCATTGCCAAAAACTAATTTAGTGGAGTAGGGAAATATCGCCACAACCAATGTAATGCGATAAGGAGGAGTTGGTTTGTTGTTTTACGCCGCACTCCAGCTATATATCGGCGGTCTGTAAATAATCGAGTCTGGACCAGACAATCCAGTGATCAACATCATGAGCATCCTTCTATACAAATGGGATACGATGACACGAGTCAACCAAGTTAGCGAGCCTGACCACACGATCCTGTTATTCGCCCCTTACGACAATCATGGGTTGCTGAAGACCAATTCTAACTCGGATCTTAACGGGTCTATATGTTACAGGATAGGTGAGGTGAGGAGAAATTGGGTTTAACGTCGTGCTTGAGAATATTTCGCTCATATGACGACGTGCATGCATGTGTATGTGTATGTGCGGCTGCTTGTACTAGCCCAGACTGAAGCTGGTTTTATAGTGCTAGCCCACTGAGATACCATGCCGCAGTGAAGCATGAATACCCCACTCAGACACATTATACTGACTCCGAGCCGACCAGTCCTTGTTGTACCCATTAATGCCGAGCGCCAGGCAGGGACCAACAAGTACCATATTTTAACGTCTTTTGGTATGACGCGGTCGGGGATCGACCCCGCGACCTTCCGCTCTCCGGGCGGACGCTCTAACCACTACACCACGGAGACGGTCTACAGGATAGGTGGGGTGTAGAAGTAAGAGTGTTGGTTCGACACGCCTATGGTCTGAGTTCCATTTTCTTCACGGGTACAATGTGCCAAGCCTGCTTCAGGTGTCGCCAGTCATGTTATGGCTTAGACTGTTGTTGACAGCGGCATATCACAATACTCACTCAATCACGTCCGCTATCTTAATTCCTCAGTAACAGTCAGGTCTGGTGGGAACTTTTGTAAATTAAACCCGGCCCTCAAATAAAGGCCAATTTAGCAATAGTGAGTGAGTGAGTTTAGTTTTACTCCGCTTTTAGCAATATTCCAGCAATATCACGGCGGGGGACACCAGAAATGGGCTTCACACATTGTACCCATGTGGGGAATCGAACCCTGGTCTTCGGCGTGACGAGCCAACGCCTTAACCACTAGGCTGCCCCACCGCCCCCCAATTTAGCAATAGATAGTCATTACCCACTTTCACGTTTGTACAGCATAAAGTCTACTAAGGTTACCCATCCCTCCTCGTCACTTCCGAGTCTATTAGCCCTAATTCCAAATGCGAGTTTTATTAAAACTGACGTTTACATGAACCAGAGATATGAACTAAGGAAAGCCTGTAAATAATGGGATTTGGATGAGATAGCCAGTGTTTAATGTGAGGTAGTTTGATGGTTGTTTAGCTACTGGGGTTATAACATTCCTAAGTTATTAGTTTCATTTTCTCATAACCAATTTCAATTTACACTATAATAAATAAAGCACTCAAATAAATCCAATTTGCGAGCCGTTACATGAAATCAAAAGTATGGGGGGAAAGTAAGATTCTATTATGATCATAGAGAAACAAGCTTAAGCCTTCCTCCACATTATCTTGAACGTGGATCTTGACTTTGCTGAAACACTGTCCGGTTTCCCATGTTAGGATAACCTATGCTGGTCATAAAAGGACAAACTGGATCGGGTTGGCATGACTTTATTGATATCACTCACTGGGTCGCTCGTATATTTCTACGTTACTGGAATAATACTGAGTGTGGCGTAAAAAGCCAAATAAACAAAACACAAAGACATCTTTGCTGGGGGGAATTCTGAGGTCAGAATTGTCAGTATGGTGGGTCATACAGTAGCTTTGATATTTCAAGCAAGGCTGGTTTATCCAAGAGAATCTCAATACGGTACAGACAATCACTCCCCACTCATGTATTGGTGCAGTCCTTGACAGATCGACTGCTATGTTACCATTGAGTGGGGCATTGGAGTAAGGGTCCTCGCTGATTCGAATTGGTATGACGTCACACATCAGGGTGCCGTTGTACAAAGCGATCTTAGCGCTAAGGTGACCGTAACTCCCATACCTTAACATAGACTTGAGGTAGTCTAAGCGCTAAGGTGACCGTAACTCCCATACCTTAACATAGACTTGAGGTAGTCTTAGCGCTAAGGTGACCGTAACTCCCATACCTTAACATAGACTTAAGGTAGTCTTAGCGCTAAGGTTGTTTTGTACAACGGCACCCAGGGCTTCAAACAACGACCTTCCGATCTCCCAGCAGTTGTTCTAGGCGGTCCAGTGTGATTTTAATCGGACTCACTAAGAATCGCTGAGGAATGTAACTGTCAAGGGGCTTTTAACTGAAGAAAGATGACAAAATGCACTTGATACTCGAGGATGGTTTCACCTATATGGTCATCATTTTGGTTGGTTGGTTGGTTGTTGTTGTTTTACGCCGCGCAAAGCATTATTCCAGCTATATGGAGGCGGTCTGGAAATAATCGAGTCTGGACCGGACATTCCAGTGATCAACAGCATGAGCATCGATCCACGCAATTGGGATACAATGACATGTGTCAACCAAGTCAGCGAGCCTGACCACTCGATCCCGTTAGTCGCCACTTAAGACAAGCATGGGCTACTGAAGACCAATTCTAGCCCGGATCTTCAAAGGTATCATCCTTAATTGGCAGTTAGAGAAGGTCCTTGTATGGTCCCATGAATGGATTGGCTGTTGTTCAGTACAATTCCATACTGAATTAGCGTACAATTTGTTAAGGGTTGCATGATCCAGCCGTGACAGGATCTGCGTATTGTAACTTGTCCCTGCTGGTGTTGAGCCGCTTGCCTCGCCCAGAGCTAAGTAGCAATATTACGATCTTTACGCAACAGTCAACGAAAACCTGTTTAACGTAGGTTGTGGGATCAAACAGTCGGATTCGATCCGA